ATATTTTCCCTGTCAGCTCGCTGGACATTGCTGTTTAGCGCTCTACCGTAATACACAGTGTATAAGCGGCCACCGAAATACCTTGGCGGCTAGAATGACTGTTCTTATTGAACATCAGCTAGGCTGACCGCAGTCAAAATTCACTCTTTTTGACTTCTCCGTCATTATTGGTTTAATTTTTACAGGGATGGACGGATTTTAGTATTATAAAAATGATTTGATTACTTTTTTTGCGCTAACCGAAATGCATGACTGTTCATTTACTGCGCAAGCCTAAGCCCGGCCCGACCCTGTCTACAATGATAGAAATTAAGTCTGAACCCGTCGAGTTCGGGCAAAGATCTTCAGCTCTGGTCTGAACTAGTAACATTGTTAGGTCTAGCTACAAACAATGCAGGCATTAACCTGGACCTGCTTTGACCAACGTTAGCTGCTGCAACATAAGTTACCGCTAGTGTTTTCCTCCTTTCATGTGCGACTTGACGGCTTTGAGCCCCATGGTCCCTAATGAAAAGGTATTTTTGCAGAATTTACACATTGCCTCATTGCCACGTTGTTAAATTTAAACTTCCCATCTTTGCCTTTTGAACCTCACCTCGACAACCGCGTAATGACAGCACGCAAGTGCAGACTGACGTAAGCATCTGTAGCCGACCTACTGTAATAAGCTAATAAATCACGGAGACTGTCATTTCTCTCATGTTTCACACATACTAAATTAATCAACTATTAGATTTTTACAGTGGACCGTGCTTCCCTATCGTCATTAAGCACACCGGCTGAAAATCTAACACTTACAGCCACTTTACAGTAAATTTAAGACAATTTAAGACCTTAACTTCCCGGATTTTAATTTCAGACATTTTAAGACTTCAAGGACCCGCGGGAACCCTGTTAATAAATGACGTTTAAATATTTCTGTTTGTTCTTGAAACTTTAATCTTGGCCCTATTACATTTACATTGGAGCCTATAAAACTATGACATGGAAAACTATGACATATAATGAAATAAAAATAAATAAAATCAAATATAAAGTACAAAGAAGGAAGAGCTCCATTTATTTCTCCAGCAGTGTTTCTATTTTCTGCTCTACGTCTCCACACAGAAATAAAGAAGTATCTCTTTGTTTAGTGATTAACTGTACTGTATCTTTGGCATGCTATGAATGTCTCTGCACGATAATCCATGACATTTCTTTATGTGCGTGAGTTTCCCTTCAGAAATTACACTGCGCAATCAATCACGCTTCTCTCAAATAACTACGCTTAGATTCAAAACCATGATCAGACGATGAAAAGTACAGCTCACTCCAAACATTTGAAATTAGCGTCAGCTCATGTGTGAGTTTTGACCAAACATTATTATGCAACAGGAAGCTCACACTCCAGACTGTCGTGCAAAAGCTCAGGGCGATTTGCCAAGTAATAATGTTGAAAATAATGTTCAGTTTTTCACACAGACCATTCGTTTCAGTTCATAAGACCTCCACGTATCATCAGAAGCAGTTTTTTTAAATGGATAAATGCTCTTTGCATATATCCGAGTATGTGTCTTTCAAAGTCAATGCATTACAATTTAAGAAACACCAAGAATCACACTCAGCTAAAAATAATTTATGTTAAACTAAAAAAAATATGCATCATTTTAAAGCAAGTCTAACAATAAACAGTGGCTCACAGCCCTCAAGAGTGAATAAAGATCTCCTATAGTGAATCACTGTGTTTCTGCATTTAGTGTATACATCATCTAGATGCACTGTCTGGGACGCATCGTCAGTGAGTTATCCTGGGGTCACTGGGTGTTTCAACATCAGACACCCTCGCCCAGATGACCCAGCTGAGGTTCATCAGTCCCCAGCTTGCGTCCCAGTAGCCATCACTCACAAATGAGTCCTCTCCATCCATAGCCATCTTGTGGCTTTCTCTGCAGCCTCACAAACAGACTTAACGGCTCTCTTCTTAGTTGCTACTGCAAGGCCTTGTTGGTTGAAGACTTTACAGGGTGAATGCCCTGCAAACCTTTTACAGCCCACCCCTGTTGGCTCACAGTGGGTCTTCCAGCCCCCTTCCTGGCACTTCTCCACTAGCTCCTTGTAGTTTGAGCGTTTTATTTCCTTTGCCTCTACCATACGCTCTTCCCAGAGTACGGGGGGTTTAAGCATAATCAGCTGTCTTGTTGCCTCAGAAATAATAATTATGTCTAAAACCTTAAAAACAAAAAAGCTGGTCCAATGAGACTCAGGGGCGCATGGGATATGCATGCGTTTTGAAAAATACACTGGAAAAGGGTTTCTCATAAACAACATACAGTATGACAATTAGCAGATGTTGTGAGGAAATGTTTATACAGTTTAAAATATGAATATTTTTCCTTTCAGAAATGTACGACTTTCCCAGAGGACACTTTTATTCACCCCCAGAGCGCTGTGGGGCACTTTTGGGATGTGCTTTATTGGACTTGTTTTGGACTGATGAAGAGAAACAGCCACCTGCTGCTATTGTAGAACTGGAAAGAGCCAGGACATAAGATGCAGACCGACAGAAGCGTCTGTAGCTGACCAACCGTAATAAGCTAATAAATCACGGAGACTGTCATTTCTCTCATGTTTCACACATACTAAATTAATCAACTATTAGATTTTTACAGTGGACCGTGCTTCCCTATCGTCATTAAGCACACCGGCTGAAAATCTAACACTTACAGCCACTTTATGGTAAATTTAAGACAATTTAAGACCTTAATTTCCCGGATTTTAATTTCAGACATTTTAAGATTTCAAGGACCCGCGGGAACCCTGTTAATAAATGACGTTTAAATATTTCTATAAAACTATGACATGGAAAACTATGACATATAATGAAATAAAACTAAAAAAATCAAATATGAAGTAAAAAGAAGGAAGAGCACTTGTCTTGTTGCCTAAGAAATAATAATTATGTCTAAAACCTTAAAAACAAAAAAGCAGAAGTTATGAGGAAATGTTTATACAGTTTAAAATATGAATATTTTTCCTCACAGAAATGTACGACTTTCCCAGAGGACACTTTTATTCACCCCCAGAGCGCTGTGGGGCACTTTTGGGATGTGCTTTATTGGACTTGTTTTGGACTGATGAAGAGAAACAGCCACCTGCTGCTATTGTAGAACTGGAAAGAGCCAGGACATATGTACAGTTGAAGTCAGAATTATTAGCCCCCCTAATTATTTTTTCCCCAATTTCTGTTTAACACAAAGAAGATTTTTTTCAACACATTTCTGAACATAATAGTTTTAATAACTCATCTCTAATAACTGATTTAGTTTATCTTTGCCATGATGACAGTAAATAATATTAGATTAGATAATCTTCCAGACACTTCTATACAGCTTAAAGTGACATTTAAAGGCTTAACTAGGTTTATTAGGTTAACTAGGCAGGTTAGGGTAATTAGGGAAGTTATTGTACAATGATGGTTTGTTCTGTAGACTATTGAAAAAAAACATTTGCTTAAAGAGGCTATTAATTTTGTCCTTAAATGGTGTTTAAAAAATGAAACTGCTTTTATTTTAGTCTAAATAAAATAAATAAAACTTTCTCTAGAAGAAAAAAAAAATCAGACATGCTGTGAAAATTTCCTTGCTCTTATAAACATAATTTGGGAAATATTTTAAAAACAAAAAAAATGAAGGAGGCTTAATAATTCTGACTTTAACTGTATGTAATATTGCATCCTTTAGAAAATATGGTCCCACTTTTTATTATAGTCCCTAACTACTATGTACTTACATCAAAAAATAAATACAATGTACTTACTGTGTTTATAATGTAATTGAGAACACTTGTGGTGCTTTCGAGTTGGGATCTAGGTTGGGTTTTGGGCAGGTTTGGTGGTATGGGTAGGTTTAAGGGTGGGTTAAGGTGTAAGGAATGGTCAACAGTGTATTTACAAATGTAATTACAAAAGTTCATTACAGATGTAATTACATACAGGTATTTAATCAAGCACAAGTACACAGTAAATACTTGTATTTACACAATAAGTACATTGTAACAAACTATTAATTCCAGTGCATATTTGTTAAGGCCACTTAATATAAATGGGACCGAAAATATTACTTCAAATGAGAGATTTGTGAGGGGTGTACTCATATATGCTGATCACTGTATATATCGCAACATATTCTGGTATTTATCATGATAAGATATCACCCTGATACACACCCCTAGGATGCCTTAATGGTTTAATTGTCATTTGTGTGTGAACTAACCCTTAAGAGCAAATAATAATGTTTGATGAAAACAATCCCTTTTAAATAATGCATGTGTCAGATCTAGACAGAACTGCACTGCTGATACCTGAAAAAGTCACTTAAATAGCAGTGATCTGGATCATCGTGCATGTTAGGGGTGTGCAACATGGCAGTTTTTGATGGTGGATGATTAAATTGTCTCGATGATCTGCATTTGAAAGAATATGGTAGTCACATTGTTTAAACAGGAAATAAAAATGGCTATAAAATTATTTTTTGAAGATAATTAAGTATTTGCTGAAGTACATTGCATACAAGTCAATGCAGATATGAGAACAGAAGAGGATTACAGACGCACAGTGTGAACAACACTATGTGACACGTTTTCCTGAGCCTGATGACATGTGCATGTTTGACATGTTGAACAGGTCTTCAAAAATCTGTGTGTGTACGGGTGGCCTGCACGTTTATTTTGATAATCAGTTTAACTAATTGTCTGATCATTCAGTTTTTCTTTTGGATATTTTTAGATCATTTTGTTTCTTTTGTAGGTACTTTTCTTGTTGTTTTGGCCTGTGTCCACCCTGATGACATGCTCCCTTGCTGTTTCCTTAAATATACGAAAAAATCTAATAATCTACATCAAGTGAGAGTCAATGTTTGGTTGTCAAGGAGAATTTTTTTAAAAAAATCAAACACCACAGTTCATTTTTTGTATCGTTTTGACCACAGACTCGGGATGTAATCATGTAAAAGAAGAGAGCTCACCAGAATTTGAGCGCATCCTTTGCTCTGGGGTCACTAAGGTGTCGCACACAGTGAAACGTGCACAGAAAACTCTCCAAGCACTGAAGACTGACCTGAAAACAGAGAAAAACAATGACATTTACACGGTGAAAAACTAAATATTCATGCTTACTGTATAGTGCAGGACTAGTTGAACACTTTTAAATAGTCGTTTAATTTGAACATTAGTAATGGCGTGCTAGAATTGAGCACCAGAATCTTTGCAATGTGAATTTTTGTTGCATATCAAACCATATGTAAATATTTTTACACAAGCAAATATATACAGGACAGTTTTGATCAGTAAGTCTTTTCCTTCATTCACTGGAGCAGTGAACGCTCAATGCATCCAAAGACGTCTCTGTTTTTGCTGCCAGCCTCCATTTACTGGAACAGACACAAAATAATCACATTACATGGAGCAACTTCCACTCACATGAGGGAGTGAGTAAGAGGCCAGACGCAAGGAAACACACTACACTGCTGCTGGGACATCTATAACACTGCCCTGAATAAATTAATCTCACCAAATCTGTTGTAATATGAAGAAGGGTCATACTGCAAAAAATAATTGTAACAATAAAAACTACAAATATTTTACATTTATATTATGAAAAACAACTGAGAATTAAAAATATATTGTTTATATTATACAACAGCTATATATCACATAATAATAAAAGTCCTTTTTATTCATAAATAGTAATAAACTAACAATAACAAATACACTTATAAAGAACAGAGTCTTTTATACAATTCTTTAAGGAAATACAAATAATAATAATGACAATATTCCATCATTTAAATGATAAAATACCTATACATCTAATAATCCAATAATAATAAAAACCAGTCATTTTACTCCTTAATAAAACCGTAATTAACAAATTAATAATAATTCCTTACATTTATATGGCGCTTTTCTCGAAAAAAGCACTTTACACACTGGGGGGAATTTCTTCATCCACCACCAGAGTGCAGCATCCACCTGGATGACGCGACGGCAGACATTTTGAGCCAGATGACATACCAATCACCAGCTGATTAGGAGGCCAGGATGGACAGAGGCCAGTGAGCAAATTTGGCCGGGATTTTTAATGTCCACAGGTTTATCGTCTCATACGAAAGACAGCGCTCACTGCGCAGTATAGAGTCCCCATCACTATACTGGGGTGTTAGGACCCTCACAGACCGCAGGTTGAGCACCCCCTGCTGGTCTCACTAGCACCACTTCTGGCAGCAACCTAGCTTTCATGGGATGTTCTCCATCCAGGTACTGACCATGTGCAGGGCTGTTTAGCTCTAGTGGAGAAGCAAGTGTGAGTTGCACAGAACTAGCTGCCGGCCGGGGAGGAAGGGTATGATAAATGTGCAAAGAACAGCCTACTTCAGGACAATTAAGAGATTTCGGCAATTGTTTAGTCTAAAAAAATAAATAATAACATTATAAATTTAAATAATAGAATATCTATACATCTAACAAATAATAATAATAATAATAAATAATATTAATAATCCTCTTCTTATAAAACCTGTCCTCACTCCCTCAATTAACCTCCTGTAATTAACAAGTCAATAAAATAAATAAAAACTAATAAATACATGTACAAAAAAACTAGACTATTTCAGGACAATTAAGACATTTTATCAAACTTTTAGTCAGAATTAACAGTAATAATAATAGCACTCCATAATTTAAATAAAATACCTATACATACAACAACAATAATAATAATAATTTTCTTCCAAAACCTGTTATTTTACCCCTCAATAAAACCATAATAATAATAAATGTGCAAACAACAGCCTACTTTAGGACAATTAGGAGATTTCAGCATTTAGTTTAAAAAAATATTAATAAAAAATAAAATATATATACATCTGAAAATAATAACAATAATAATAATAGTAATAATAATAATCATCATCATCATCATTTGCTTCTTACAAAACATGTCAGTTTATGCTCTCAGTGAAACCGTAATTAACAAACGGTAAACAAAATAATGATAATAAATGTGCAAAGAACAACCTATTTTAGGACAACTAAGACATTTCATCAAACATTTAGTCAAATAAAAAAATAAAAACATTCCATAATTTATGATACATATTTGTAAGTGATTATACATCTAATAATAATCCTCTTTTTACAAAATTTACCACTCAAATAAACCAATATTTAAAAAGAAATAAAATAAATGTGCAAAGAACTGCCTATTTTAGAACAATTAATATATTTAGCAAACATTAGTTTAGCTAACATTCCATACTTTAAATATTAAAATGCCTATGTGTGTGAGTCACAGTCAGAAACCGTAATGAAACTTAAGGAATGTCTAATCTTCACAGGATTTCCACCTGCTGATGGTCATCTGACCTTTTTTACTAGCAATTGTGGGGGATGTGTGTTAATTCCGTCGCAGCTTTTACTGATCCTCCAGCTGTCACACTCACACACTCACACACACACACACACACACACACACACAGTCACACACAGTCACACACACACACACACACACACACACACACACACACACACACACACACACACACACACACACACACACACACACACACACACACACACACACACACACACACACACACACACACACACACACACACACACACACACACACACACACACACAATAGAACTGGTTGAGTGTGCTTCAGTAATCCACAGCTTCAACAAAAGCATCTGACTTGGGGACAAAACACTAGCGGAGTGACATGCTCTGATCAAGCGTTCCACAACTGTACTGAGACAGACAGACTGTCCTGCACCACTTCCAGACTCCTCACTGAACTCCTGAAGACATCTAAAGTGTCGGTTTCACAATGATGGCAAAATATTGATCCTTCACTCAATCAATCAATCAATGTCTTTTGTCAAGAATCACACCATGTCACACTAATCAACCACTGCTACTGAATAAAACAACACTAAACAGTAACAATAACATCGGTTTAATCAGAAGCATCACTTTTATTTGCGACAACATAGAAAAAAACAATTGCAAGAGAAGAAGGAAGTTAACTTAAAAATGAGAACAAACAATTTAGACAATAATTTCTCAGCATTTTGTTCTAACTGTTCTGTTTATGTTATGTTTAATTTAAAAATGGAAAAAAAGGATTTTAAAGCAAATTTAACAATTAAAATTCCACAAATTTAAATTACAAAGAAACAGAAAGTAACACTTTGCTTTACATTTCTCCAATAATTACTTAATTTAACATAAAAAAATAATGGTAACACTTTTTAAGTCACAATTCAAAGTATTAGGAAACCATTAAGTTACACTACTGGCTTTATACACTACTAATTTGCTGTTTCTTAATAGTTAGTAAGGTAGTAGTTGGGTGCTGTGTTGGATTGAACTCATTGTCATGTTCAAGACACCAGTCTGAGATGATTCACTAATGAGCCCAAAGTGTGCAAGAAAATCTCCCCCACACCATTACACCACCACCACCAGCCTGAACCGCTGACACAATGCCGGATGGATCCATGCTTTCATGTTGTTGATGCCAAATTCTGAGCCGAGCATCTGAATGTGTCAGCAGAAATGGAGACTCATCAGAGCAGGCAACGTTTCTCCAATCTTCTATTGTCCAGTTTTGGTGAGCCTGTGTTAATTGTAGGCTCAGTTTCCTGTTCTTAGCTGACAGGAGCGGCACCCGGTGTGCTCTTCTGCTGCTGTAGCCCATCCGCCTCAAGGTTGGACGTGTTGTGTGTTCCGAGTGTGAGTGTATATTTTAATAATAGGCGGGAATAATAACTAATAGATAATAGCATGAATTGTGACAAACTAAAGTGTTACCAAATAAATAAATAAACAAATAAAATACCAATCTATTTTATTCATAGGCCTCTTCATGAAACTCATGGGCACCTAAGCAAAACGAGCACATAAAAACACAGAAGTGCTGAGATTAGCAACTGTAAATCCTTCTTTAGATTAAATATGAGCAATAATTAAGCAAAAAAATATTGAAAATCAGTAATCAATTCAATCTTGTCTTGAATTAAAATAAAACAGTTGTTTACTGTATGTGTTTGACTTTTGTTTGAAAAATCATGCAGAATAAATTTTAACATTTCATCCTATATACATATATTTGGTTCCTTTTATCGGATCGAGTGTTGTGAGCACATCATTTTTTTCCACAACTTGGTAAAAACCAGTACAGTGAAGAGACAGAAACATCAAATAATGAGGCTAAAAGAAAACGTCTGTTTCTAACGTTGTGGAAACAGATATTTACATGGGTTCAACACGATAAAAAAAAATGAAGTGATATTTTGCATAGTTTTCTGTCACTTTTAAGTCAGCCACCTTTTGTTTTGCAATAAAATACCTGCACATTTTCCATACTGCTTTATTTTACTGCTAAATATTTTAACATTTTAAAGATCTTTAAATCCTAGATTCACGCATTTCACATTATTTTTGGCACATTATTTAAAATATATGGCTAAGAATGAGCTATTTTTTATTTTATTTTATTTTTTAATTTTGGCATATTAGTTCTTATACTTTTTCCTTGTCTAGATAAATGCTTCTCAATTTAAGAATTGTTAGATATTTGGATTAGAAACCACACAAAATATCAAAGAAAGATAATCATGTTTTGCGGTGTGTTAGTCGTATCAAAAATTGAAAGCAGCATTACTGAAGATCACACGCATCTGCAGGAGACACAGACACTCACCAGAGGATCAGGAAGAGGAGAAGCAGTTGCTGAGAGAGTCAATGGACGGCGAGGGGCTGAAACACGCACACAGATGAGACACACACACACAGATGGAATAAAACAGACAGAAGAAGAGGATGATGATCCACACACACAAAACAACTTAAAAAACTGAAGAACAGAGAAATGGGAAGGGAAGGAAGTTGTAACTAGTTTGTAGATTTAGAGTGAGAATCAGATCAAGGTTCAGAGTGACTGAACAAACAGATCATAAGATACAAAGTTCCTCTGCTAGTAGAAATCTTTCACTTTCACTGCTCCTGTGGTCATCCGTGCTGGACATTCAGATCAACATACAGTTCTGAACC